TATAGATACCCAAGGGTTAGCAGTGTAATTGACTGTGCAGCTGATTCTTTCACCCCTGACAAGATTGCTTGGTAAGGAGAACCAGGCCCAATCACAGCCTGCAGTTCATTTTTTTGTTTTAAGCAAGGAAAACACCATCCAACTGTGTGTGCTTTAGGCATTATTTAGGCATGTATACGACAAAGGTAGGCTGTAGACCTAGGCCATTTTTATAGAAGTCAAAGAATGCTTTTTGATAGTGAGGTTAGTGTTTCAGAATTATATAAACTCCAATACTCTTCCTGTCTGTCTGTCTGTCCATAACATGCATAGCCAAAGACAGTGTTTTTGTAGAAATACTATAGATATAACAATAAAGACGAAAAAATGATTATCTGTTCCCTTGTTTGGGTTTTAAGCCTTCTGTTGCCATCTGCCGATTTTGAAGACTACAACCGGAAACCAAAGGATTTCCTGTTTTTTTAATTAAGCCTGGAAAAATGGAAAAACAAAATGGCAATGCATTAAAAAAAAAAAAAAAAGGTTTAGATTTTCTTTCTTCAGAATGACTATGACTATCAGAATAGTTTCTGTTTGATTTTCTGTCAATCATATAATCGACCAATCCCTGCAGCTTTACTTTTTTAATCAGCATATCATTTTGAAATATAGAAAAGCAGAAGTGGTTTAAAGAAGGAGCAGCTAAAGTGGCCTAGTTAGATAATAATAGCCGGCAGCAGGGGTGTAATTAGGGCTGCACACTAAGGATTCTTTTCATTTCCAACTGATCTGCAGATTTAGTCTATAAAATCTACACAAACTTTGAAAAATGCTCTTCACAATTTCCCAGAGCCCAAAGTGCAGCTTCTTTTGTTCAAAACCCGAAGAATCTTCATTTATCATAAATGACAAAGAAAATCCATACATTTAAGCTGCAACCAGCAAATGTTTGACATTTGTGCTTGAAACAATCGATTATCAAAAGTGTTTTCTTTTGATCGAGTAGTTGATTAATCGGCTAATCCTTGCAGCTCAAGGTGTAATGAGGTTTTCACAACAGCAAACCTAATACGTGTCTCCCTCTGTAGCAGTATGGCCAGTGTCGAGCAGGTGGCAGCAGTTGGACAGGTTTTGGTGGACCCAGGAGTGGACCTGACCCGGCGGTTCAGAGCCCTATTCACCCTAAAGAACCTGGGAGGTAAAACATGTCCACAAAAAAGTTCTAAGATTTGGGTGTTCTGTGGAAATGAATTGTGGTTTGTGTACGTACGTTTTAGCTGTTTGATTTTAGCACTACAATGACAGCAGGGAAATTGAAAAAAAGAACTCTTTGTTTACAGAAACAAGAAAATATTACTCTTTTTAGTGAAGCAGTGCAGCTCCCAGCCATTATTTAAGCAATGCAGTGTTGCCTGCAGTAGGGATGTCCCAACCCGATCAACAATCAGTATCAGCGCCCATCAAGAAACCTTTTTAACTGATCAGTATCGGCTATTTTGAGCTTTATTGATCCAATCCCAACTTTTGTTTTAGATCAGCTGTCACAAAGCTCCACTTTGAGCTCTGTGTCAGTGTGAGAGAGAGAGCAGAGGCAGACCTGTCCGCTGCAGAGTTTTAAGCTGACTCTGCTTGAAGAGACACACTCAATACGCCACTGCAAGTGCAACAAAAGTCTTGTGAACAAAAATCCAATAAGCGTAATTACTAAATTAACAAAAAAATGTAGATATAACAGAAATAAATGATGAACAGAATACAACAATATTGGATCAGCAGATACTTGATATTAAATTCGGATCTGGGGCTAAAAAACCTGGATCGGGACATCCCTAGCATGCAGCCATTAGTGGAGCAATGCAATTCATCTCTCAGCTTACTGTGTTTTGCATCTTTCATCCCTTTCCCACTTTTATAAATCTTTCTTTTCAACACTTAAAACCTGTATAATGTCCCACATCTTTTCATACATTATGGGTTGTATCCAACTTTTCATCCAGCTCATACTAATTAAACTCTTCCCCCACCTTTAGACTCTCTCCTCCACACAAATTACAGCCAGCAATGCAGTTTAGCGTCACTGACGACCGTCAAAATAAAAGTCTTCCTCAGAGAAATAAAATAATTAAAACAAACGCATTAATTTTGAAACCCAAAATAAAATTACAAATAAAAATTTACAGGCAGAGCACACCCGTTGCTTCAATGCCGTGTACAATTTCCACTGTATTCATGATTTAGCAACGCAACGATGCACTTTTATTTGTTTAAAAAGCGAAGCAGAAGGATGTGGGCTGTGGTTAGAGACGGATGTGGACGCAGCCGCTGACTTTAAGACGCGGTGTTTGTTACCTTGAAGAGGAAAGACCCAAACTACTCCACAGTCATCATGGTCCGTGAAGTGAAAACCCTGGTAAGTCTTGTTTACTTATTTATTTTAAGCTCTTATTGTTTGTAAATATTAGAAGCCAGTGTTGGAATGAATAAACACATTTATTTCAGTGTTTCAACTAAAACTACAGTTTTCAGGTAGTTGTACTTTACTTTTCCATTTCCATTTAATTTCCACTTCCCACTTTTTTACTCCACTACATTTATTTTATAGCTTTAGTTACTTTGCAGATTTAGATGATTACAGACAATATAAATAAAGTAATGAGGGTTCGAGCTGTGCGTAAAAAACGAAACGCCTACTTTCATATGATACCAAAAAAAAAAAGGTGTGGAAGTGTATTCCTATTTCTGTCTCTTAAAACCTGGTTGCAATGTTTCAGGGCGGGTCTGGTTGTTGCGATCACCACGTGATGAGCGGTAAAGTCTCACAACTACGGGAAGAGATCATTATTTATTTATCTCCACCTCTAATGTTGCATTATGTCAGAGACACCCACAAAGCTCTGGGTTATAACTTCTTAATGTTCCGTCCCTAGTTATTACAACCTGTATTTCTTTATATTATTAAGCAAAGTGTCCTGAAGATACATCATGTAAAACCTTAATACCTTTATTCTTATTTCTTTTCACCATGACATATAACTATTCGAATCCTTCAGAATTATTTTCTTGCAATATTGTGTGACTTTTTTTCCAAGTTGGACATAAAATATGTGAGTACATTTCCAAATATAAAATAAAGCTGCAATAACTGAGCTCAGGTTTAGTCAACTATCTGTTTTCTTTTTCTGTAGGATGAGTTCAATGCCATCCTGAAGGAAGCCGGAGACAAGCTGGTGGTTGTGGACTTCACAGCCACATGGTGTGGCCCCTGTCAAAGGATTGGCCCAGTATTTGTAGTAAGTTAATGATTTTTAAATATTTGGGAAAAGGAAAACCAAAGTAAGGGCTGAAAAACCACTTGATGTCTGTATTGACATGTCTTAGGGGCAAGGAGAAGAGACAGGTACGCTTGATGATGGGTACGAAAAGTAATCTGGACTAGAATCATTTTTAAGATAAAAAACGTGTTTTTAGAAGGAAAATGTAATGGCTGTACATAACTTGAATAAATAATACAACTGAGATTTTCTCATTCTGTGTGTAATGCCTCGGTGCTCAGTCCTCTGACTAAACGTCCTTGCGGAACAGGGGCCCTCGTTTCAAGACGCTGAGAACAAGAAAGTGATTTTCCTAGAGGGTGCGAGTGGGATGCTCTGTCGGCTGTCGGTAAAGTGGTGGTTTTTACCAGTAGGGGTATGTATCACAACTGCTGCAAGTCCAGGGGGGACGATTCCAACACACACCAGTTCACGACGTACAGTGACCTCTATACGCTGTGTGTCCAGCCCACGGTATTTGAGCCCCCGCAGTAACTTCTGGCAGGTGTTTGCCGATGGTGTAATAATACTGAAAGCAAATGTTGCAGCAACCACAGCTGGCTCAATGTGACCAAAGTGCCAGGCGTCTCTCTGCTCGCTAAGTGTCACCAACAGTTGTGACATGAGCAGGAGAGCAACCTTCCCCTGCACCCCCCGCCTCCTCTTGCGGTCTTAACATTACACAACAGCAGGTGATCACCTCGAACAAATCGTGGCTGCTATTGTAGGCGCGAATGTGGCGTATACCCCTCTGAGCCAACAACATTGTGATTGACATAGGGACCTCATGTGTTCTGATCATAGTGTAGGGGCCCGAATCCCCAGACACTGTTGCTTGCAGGTAGTAGTCTGACCTCTGTGAAGCGCTGTTATAACATGAAAATTGAACACCCCTCTTTGGTTCTCAACCTGGAGAGACTGTCATCGCAACCGCCGCGTCTGAGGGAGCGGCGCACCACACTCGTTACATTCCCAAACAGCCAGGCTCACCTGATGAAGCCAAACCAGTTCATAATCTTACTTTAAAGTTATTCTGAACCAGTTAAGTTAAAATACTTTGGACCTAAAATCAGGCTACTTGGAGCTGTTCAAACATGTTTACAGAATTACCTGGATACATTTGTAGTCATAACGTCACCCTATTGCTTTGTGGAGTACCATTTGGCATTATGGCCGTCGTTGTGTTGGTCTGTTGCAGCCAGCAGCAGGACTGCCCTCATTGGTTGCGCCTGGTATCAACTCATAGTTGCAGGAAACAATGGCAGCTTGCCCGCTCACAATGTCTTGTTACACATTAACAGAACACTAAAATATTTTTCTGAAAAGATCTGAGGAGAGAAATAGGCAACGCAGTAACCAGAGTCTTGATACATATTTGGTCAGCACTGCCTAGTTTTACAGTTTCATCTGAGTTTCGTGCTTTTTGCTGGACATATTCACTGAGAATGACTCATGAGGAAGCCGCACCCGAAAGCATACCTCGCTTTATCGTCTGTTTTACTCTAAATGTGATCATAGCTTACACAATGTACATGGTCAAATGCTGCGTGGAAGAAGACCATAAACTAGCCATTAAAACAATGATTATGTTAGAAACTGTTTACTTCTAAGACCCAGAAGCTCTGTCCACTATTTACTTACTGTCAGTGGTTTAAACAAATACAACCTGCAGGTTTGTACACATGTTCTACTAAACAGAAAACAGTGACGAGTAATTTGGGCAGGTACTGTAGGAAACACAGAAGGCTAAAGGGAGAGGCTCAGGTGTCCTTATCAAACAAGTCATAATAGTTGCCTGTTTGTCTGGTATCTGGATGACTTTGCATGAAACAAGTCTGGCAAGTCTGACAGAATTCCCGTCAGTGCACATGCAAATATATAGTCCTGCATTTAAAAGCTGGCTCTACTGCTTCCTTGAGGGGAGGCTACACACATTTCTGGCTTAAGTATGTAATAATATTTTTAATATCTTAAATTCACACTCACAGAAAGTCTTTCCTTGACCTTACGGTTCATACTGGATGCTTCACACATGTGTTGGTCTCTTTGGCTCGTGCATGTTAGCTTGAGCAGAGTGTTGTTTTTGACTCCATCTCACTGTTGTTCTCTTTGCTCTTTTTTTTTTTTCAGGATGTGAGTTCATTCTGCCAAATACGTTCGATGCCCACTTTCCACTTCTACAAGAATGGAGAGAAGGTAAGGATTGCATGAACATATACAGCTAATATGCTGTGAATTGTGTTGCTTTATTTACACATTCAGCAGCTACGGAGCTATGTTTACATTCATTTAGAGCAGCGTTTCTCAAATTTGGAGTCAGGACCGAAAGCACAACAATGGTGTGATATGTGAATTTGTTTTCCTCATTAAAAATTGATGCCCTTTAGTCCCTGTCCAGTGGCTCCCTGTGGCTCCATTATTTCACAGTTCTCCAATTGTAAAATTGTGTAGCTATTACACACCAAATAAAATAAAAAAGTTTTAAGTTTTAACATTGCATCAACTAAAATGAGTAATTTTTAATGTCCTGGTGCCTCTTTCAATATATTTTCTCAAACTTCGTGGCTAATAGTCTTGAGTCTCCCTAGCTGGGCTAGCTATAGATTCCAAATCCAAAAAAGGAAAAGTCTTTGAGGAAAATAAAGAATTTAATAGTGCATGACCAGATTCAAAGTTGTTTTAACCCTCTGTCTGTTCTGTCTTTCAGGTGTTCGAGTTCTCTGGTGCTGACACAGCAAAACTGGTGAAAACACTGGAACAATTGAGAACATAAAAACCACACTAGCCACCGCTGCCCTCTGTACACACTGTATGTACAGTAACATCAGGTCTTCTGTTCCACACAGGAAATAATAATTCATTCCATTCATGTAATTGGTGACATACTGTAATCCTGTCAGTTTAGTGTGTATGTAGCGACTATCTTAACAACAAACAATTAAAACCTGATGACTACTTTTTAATTCTGATTTATATGAGAAATTGGCTTTGATCTCAACTTGCATTATGTGTCCAACATTATGGATTTAATAAATGAAGATAAAATACAGGAACTTTGTGCTCTTTTGATTCACATTTTAATTCATAACCTAAGTCTAGGTGCAAATTCATGTTCCAAGTAAAGAAATGAAATGGCCGCCAAACTTTGAAAATCCCCTTAGATTAACCTTAACCTTTTTAAATGTGCCATAACACTTTCTATCCATCGAGAACGTGCTGTTGGCTTGTTATATTTCCACTGTAACAGTAGTTGTGCTAATAGTGTGGTGAAACTTCTGTAAGGGTGTCTGCTAAATATTGCAATAGCTGGCTGGGCTCAAAGATAGTAGACCAGAATCTAACCGGGTCCAGAACATGTACATAAAGGGGGGCTTTGTCTTGATCGCAACAGGAGCAAATTGCGTCCGTTCCTGGTAACATTTTAGTTAGAAAGTTAAATTATAATAACCTGTGTCTTACGCAGACAGATGTTGATGGGTTCTGTTCAAAACTTAATCTAAAATATACAAACTCCAAACTCTTAACTCCGTTGTTCCCTAATCTAAAAGTTACTCAATCCAACCAACCTTCTGGGAAAAGATGGGAAGGAAACAAAATTCTTTTTGACCAGACTGTGCCCTTGGAAATACCCAAAGAACTGGGATTTAGGTATTTCATATTCTCTGATAAAGTGCCCTGAACCGTAACTGGAATGTAGAGTCTACTAATGAGGGTGGAAACAGCCCATTGAACACAACAGATAACAAAGTGAGTGCCTGTTTAAAGTGCAACCTAAACTGGGTCCATATCTTCAATGAGCCATTCCCAATTGGGTGGACTGTCTGGCTTTTTTGCTGGAAGGTAGTGGTGCACATACAGCTGATGGTAAGGACACTGGGGTTAAAAGCAAACTGTTTGAGCCTCCTTCCTCATAGCCTCAGGCCTCTTGAACGATTACACCCTTGACATGACAAATAAAGAACACAGATGACACAACAAACCAAGAATGACGTCTTGCAACATACGTGTTTCGTTTTTTTTTTCCACTTACCACCAGAATGCAGTACAATCACATACTTGTTCTTGTCCCCACTAACAGAATTTTGTACAGCATCCAGGTACATGCAGTTCTCCTGCTGATCAAAGCACTTTGTGATCAGATAAAAACAGAAAGAAATCCTTGTTAATTCTTCCAACCTAGAGCATTTTGGGGGTAAATGGATGAACATCTGAAACCCTACTTAAACCCTTCTCTCACATTTACATCAATAATTTAGTAGCTGCACTTTAATCCATGTTTGCTTTGCATTAAGTTTCATGTAAATAATTCAGATTTCATTTACGAATATTCATCACTGTGGTACAATATTAAGTTAAACTGAAAGGGCCTAATTTAAGGTGGCCCCTGTGCTTTCAGCTGATCTTGAAGCCTCCATAATCGTGCCACCATTTTAGACACTGAGTTCAGGGAGGCAACTTAATTCAATGCATGGTTGCAAGTGTGACTTGTTTGTTATACTGGGTGTGATGAAAACCTAACAAACACTATACAAAGAGATAATCTGCTGACACGATTACAGATCCTTCCTGTTCGTCTTCATGTTCATCTTCATGACCTTTTTTCCGCAGGGTTTCTGAACAGTCTCCCTGATATAATCAACACACTGAACTTTAATCACTCACTCAATCAAAGAATCAGTGACTAATGGTGCACACACTGTAAGCAAGCGAACTCCAAGTAGTACCTCAAAACTGGGAAGTGATCGTTTTTTGTGTTTATTCTATGATAATATACAGTGCAGCTAGAATAAAGAATAATTATCTGCCCAAAACAAGGTTAAATGAGAGTAGTGACTCGTGCCAATCAGAAAGGATAACAAACTTATAAAAGGAGGGAGCCGACTGTCCTCCGGGCCCCTGATCCAGCGGAGCCTTCGAGTGAAGCCGATCGGACCCACAGCTGTGTTATTTACTTATTCTCTCAAATAAAGGAAGTTGAGGACAACTCTTGCTTTAATGTCTTTCTCAAAGTACAACAACAACATGACACAAAATATAAGTTCTAATTTATTGATTTATATAAAACCTTTAAGTTGCAAACAGTATTTGCGTTGAGTTGTGTTGAACGTAAAATTAGAACTTAACTCAACTTTGGTTGGTTTTTCTTGAGTAAAAACGTGTTTTTTAGAGTGAAGTAGGTTATTTTTTTGTATAGCTGGTTTCAAACAGTCGACAGGTGAATCATTAAACATCTAGGTCCCTCATACGTTATACCCAATAAATGTTTTTGCCTCTTTATATTCTGTTAAAGTGGGTGCTTCTGTGTAAAAAGGTTGCCTGTATAAGAAGATTTGCGTCTCTTGTGCTGGCAGTACATGGTGGTGACTCTGGGGCTGCTAATTCACTGCCTCAGTTTCCCTCTGTTTGTCTCTGTTTACAGTATTTCACCGCATATGCATTTACAGCCATGGGAAAAGCGACGAGAGTGCTGCATCTCTGCGGCACAGCTGGCTGCTTGCCTTTACTCAGAGCGCCCCCTGCTGGTGGTGACACAGGTATTGCAGATTCTTTTTTTTTTCCATGTTGTAATCCCTGCTGTAAATACAGACTAGTGTGTATGGGCGGGGATGAGGTCAGCTAAAACAGTAGGACCTTATAACGTCACTTACACACACACACACACACACACACTGCAGACCAGGTCCTTGGATAAATAAGGAAGAGGGGACGTGCTGCTATGATCCAAGGCGCTGCTCTCAGACAGAGTTAGATGAATTGTAAAAGCATAAAATCTTTACCAGGACTTACACTCGACAACAATCGAATCTACTATTTTCTGATGCCAAGGTGTTTCTTGCTCGTATCGTTTCATCTGTGAATTATGATGAATGGATAAATCATTTAGTCTAAAATGTCAAAGACAGTAGTAAGTAATGCCCAACACAATTTTCTACACCTTAATGTGATTTGATCAACAGTCCAAACCTCTAAGATTTTCCACTTTTAATGATATAAAATAGCCAAAAGCAAAAAATATTTGGCTTTTTTTTTTGCTTAAATTATGACTGACTATTATGAAATGATTACTAGGTTATCAAAACTGGTGGTGGTAGATTTTTCTGTCAATCTAGTAGTTTTTTTTTTGCAATATTTAACTTATATATGAACATATTTGCATTTTGGTTATAAAAAATGTGACCTTTAGCACACAGGGGTGGACGTAGGCATCATACTGTCTCACATATTGATAACAATTGAGAAAATAAGATTCATGGCAGTGAATGAAAGAAGCTGAAGACTTAACTTAGAGATTAACTTAAATATTAATAGTTTAATTTACCGGTTATTGTTGCTCAAATGTTGAATGTTTCCCCATTTCTCTTCTCTATTCTGTGACATTGAACCATTGTAGAAGTGGAAGTACTTTTTACACATTTGTTACACATAGTCATCGCAGTGCTACACCTACAACTGAGCTGTGAGACCTAGCAGATACCACAATAAATGAACGAATGAATGAATTTGTGTCTTTATCAATGCCAGCACAAACCCACATTGCGCTTCTTTATCACACTGATGATCCAGCCAGAGAAGATAATAAAAGCAGCAAAGGGATCATTCATTGTTTTTATTGATAGGTACAACATTAAGACAATAAAAGGGGCTTCTTGTGACATAATGTTAACAAAGTACACTGTTCAAGAACAAGCAACAATAAAGACAATTGTTATTTCTATCTCTATGTGCCCTGCTGCAGCTAGCATTCCTCTACACGTCCTCCTCTTCCTCTGCCGATATTGCAGTTCATTTAATATCGTTCAATACTATTCTTGCATACACCTTTGTCAGACAAAGGAGACAGTCTGTAGACTCCTTTACATTTACCGTGTACATATACAATCTATACATACAATCTATATTAACAGTAGATTAACAAAAAGTGCTGTAAATTCATGCTACAGTGCTGTGCTAAATCAAGACCTACAAGTATACTTTTTTCTGCCTCGAAAAGTCTGAAAATAATATTTGTTGAACTTCTGATGAAACTAAAGAAAACACATTTCTTTCTGCTCATTCCTTTAAAAAACATCATGGTTATGACAAAGAAAGTCTTCTTTAATAAGTCACCCAACCAGGCTCAAATCAATTCATTCTGATCAGTGAACTTTTACTGATTCCTAAAGTTAATTTAACTAATTAAAACATTTTTTTTTTTTCAGAGCAATTAAATAAATTCCATGTGATGCTACAGTTTAATGTGTATAATCGTCGTAAACATTAATCTCGTACAACACATTCAACAAGTAAGTTTACCGATGCATTCTACTGTATCTACATTATTCAGTCAAAATACTAAAAAGTACAAAAAATAGTTTATGCTTCAGGAGACGCATGAGAACCGACCCAAATCCTGTGATGATGGAGACACAATGTAAAAACATCAGTGGTATAAAAGTTGTCCCAAATAAGGCAAAAACAATAACTTTCCCTTATGATGCATGACGTCAAATCAAAGCTCCACTCAACAGAGATATGAGAGAAAATAAAATAAAGTGCCTATAAGTTAAGATGAAATTAGAGGTTTCAGAACAGGGTTGTTGTTGTTGTCAGTGTGTCGGGGGGATGTGATGGCAGGTGGAAGTGTCCTCGGTGTACTGGAGCTCAGCGCAGTGAGTTGGTGGTCATACAGTCACACAGAGCCCTCCTCTCCGCCCTCAGCACCAGCGTCTCCGTCTGCAACGGACAAAACAACACGTCACCGTATGGAGCAGAACTCTTTTTAACAGTTTCAGTTTGATTCATTTGCTAAAATAGTCCAAAGTCCAGATGGAAGAATCTCTGAGTTTGTCAAAAAATGTTAAATAAAAGTTGTCTTCAGTTATTACCGTGTGTGCTCACAGCAACTAAACTATGCTCTATTTGTGAGGAACACTGCAGGCGCTACAAAAATATCCTACAACACATTTATCTGTTTTTATTTACAGATAAAGACGCTGGAACTGAGCATCAATCAAAGATAATGCAGCGCTCTAAACATTGTTTCTTAGTTATTAGCTATAACATGAGAATATTTATAAAATTGTATCAAGTGGATCACAGACTGGGTGGTGATTTAATGGGTTAGTGCATTATTATAAATTAGTTACATAATATTGTAAATATTTTTTATATAATAAAAGATATTTCAGAAAGCTTTGATCTTTCTAACAAGGTTAGATGTAAAATTGTATTATTAATATAACATTTATAACTACACCAGCTGTTTGGTTGTTGTTTTTTTGTAGTTCTATTATTTTTTTATGTAAAGATTACAAAACTACCTCTTTCTTCTCAACTTTTTAAAAACCTAACCAGGGACGAGGGCAGGAAATAAGCTTCAGCTAGACGCCTTATAGACGTCCGTTTCATTGCTTCGCCATATGAAAGCATGTTGATCTGTCCTCGTTGAATAAACTCAACAAATAAATACCTTGCAGCCAGTACAAAAAAAAACATAATAAAATACATAAAACATAAGATATAAACAAATAAAACATACACTAAAAGCTGTAAGATCATGTATGTAAAATGACAGCATGTCATAAAGCCTCCAGTCTATCCAGCCATTATGATCCAACCCAATAATCAAAGACAAAGTCACCACCATCACACGCCAATTGTTATATGAAAGACTCATCAACTGGTGAATCATGAGCGTTTAACACTTTGATAGGATGAGACATGGAAGAATTTTTGCCTCTGACAAGGAAATGATATAATTTCATCAGCCTTCACCTACCCTGGCATCAAGGTTGAAAGCGGTCTTCTTTAGATCTTGCAGTGCCCTCTGCATAAACTCAAACGCGTGACAGTCCACACATGGGCGACCTGGAAATAAGAGGAAATAATATTATTATATTGGTGTTTTTTCTTGGTTGAATTCATTATTTTGTGTTGATTTTTATTCATTTCAAAGCAGATTCTCTTGTTGTAAACCTCACAGCGAGCCTTGGGACAGTGCCCACGGTGGTCACAGGTAGGCTGAATATCACAGGATAATGGGTAAATATTAAGAAGCACAAGTACAGTCAGTCATGGATGTGACTCAGAGATGTCAGTTAGCTACACAGCAATATTTACCTAAGGTCAGCTAATATTAGCCACCAGAAGATCGTGTTCATCCTGAACTAATCTAGCAGCAGTAGAGTTTATTTAAATAAGAGTGTTTTATGCTTCTGAATCCAACTTTTTCACGTGTAATAAGAAGATTCTGTTATATTCCTCTTACAGTCCATATAATCTTACTTTACGTTGTTTTTATTAATTCACTAAGGAGCTTTTTCCATCTTGACAGTAGTTCATATAACTTGATTTTTCCATTTAAATGTCCAAGTATCACCAACGGCGGCTACGAAACAAAAGCATTGGTATTTTTCTTTAAATGTCCACATTGTTTGAACCCGTAGAGATGATAAAATGGGTCTTGAAGTAGCAATGTAGGCCCATTTTCATGTTGTGATGTATCCACCAACTAGGATGACCTACAATTCCCAGTAAGAAACCTCTGTGGGGACCTGCTTATCACTACAGACTATAAAAACATCACTGTATCACACAGATTTCCACCTAACCTGCACTGAAAAGGCAGGAAAAATAAAATCCCAATCACATATTTAAATCCACCTACTTTCGGCAGGGATGACAGTCCCGGTCTCCTGGTCCGCATCAGCAGCACCGAGAGAGAGGAGCTGCACCGCCAGAAGGAGCACCGCTGCCTGCACATATCCACTGGATGCCATACTGATGGTGATCAATTACCTTTATAAAATTAGAAATAAAAAAATTACAGGTGTGTGTCTTGCAGAAATACAACAACGGGAAATGTCCTACACGGCCCCCAGTCACTGAAATAACACAATCTGAAGGGCTTTGTTTGGAAACCAGTCCAGTTTTCATCGGTAGAGGTTAGTTTGTAATTAAAAATACAACCTCCAGAGAAGATTCACTGTTTATTTCACAAAACTGCATGTTTACCCACCGTGAATCAGTCGATGATATATTGCAGAGCACCAGATCAGCGCAAGATGCCCACCTAGGGTTGTTTTATGTGGATCCGGGGAGTGCGCATGCGTGTGGCTCGTCTAAAATTTGCTTTGGGGACCAGAATCAAGACTTCCGGTGACAACATTCAAAATAAAGGTCTTGATAAACCTCCAATTAATTCATATATCTTTATGTTTTAATATAATATCGAAGTGAATAAATACTTTTACTGCCCTGAAGCACACTATGAGGCACTAGTATTTCCGTTTTAATAATAATAATCTAGTTTTCTTTACTCTTTTCAGATTTAGATACAAAACATTCAGTTTATAATATATATATTATATGTTGTTAATTGAAATAGGATACCCACTTTATATCTATATACAATTGAAATGCTTACATGCTAATACATAAGTAATGATGCATTATTGATTTAATGTATAACACTCAACATAATATATAATATGTACATCCAACATTATACTTTATTATAATACTATATTTGTACTGAAGTAAAGCAAGTATGGTGTTTTTACATTGCAGTACTTGAGTAAAGGATCTAAGTATAATATATAGATAAATATTGTAAGTCATTTACTACATTCAATGTCAAATATTTCAGATATGTTCAAGATGTAGTATCCAGATTGAACTGAAATAAAAAGAACGTTCAAAAATATAATAAATATATAGATAAAAATCCTTTGTGCATATTTTTAAAGAGAGATAATTCAATGTTTCTACTTTTTTTGCAGTAATATTTTGAGACATCAAAAAAACTACACCGAATTATTTCAACTTAAAGGAAAATACAGCCACTTTTTATACACTTATACCTGTTTAATGTAGGCAATGCCTCTCCACACATGGTCTCTACATCAGGTAATAACGAGTGGTGCATATTTACATCAAATTGCCACAACACACTGAACCTGGGGCTTTTGTGGGGGGTCCAGATTTGCCCCGGGTCCTCGTGGTACTGTGTTGTTCTAGCATAAGACTGTGTAGTGCAAATGATATAAATGTGACATATTTATATCATAAGTGACTCAGTTTATTTGTTTATTTATTTATTTTGAATGTATTTATTAGTTTTTTGT